CGCCCTAAGTGAAGGCGGGCCTGAATATTCACGAGAGGCCCTCGTCTCAGCATTTTCCAATGTGGGTCTCAGACAGTTGCTGCACGCCAGTTGGTTGAAGTGCAAACCTGTGCCTCACCCTGGGCTCTTCCAGAAGAAGCAGCTCCTTCAGGCAGTTGAGCCCAGGACGCAGGTGGTTGCGCCCTGGGCAAACGCAGTGTGAGGCCGACACATCACGAAGTGGGCACGGGCCAATGAGAACGCAGCATTGTCATCACATTTAGCCTGCGGGCCAATACAAACACAGCAAACATTCGGAGCCTGGATAACGCTGGGTGTGCCCAACCGAAAAGGGCCCAGGCCCTCAACTGTAGACATGGGCCATGGGCCTGGGCACAGACAATGGGGGCGGACCAGAAGCTACTGGAAACTTCCACGGCCAGGCCCAGGGAATCCAGCAGCAGCAGCCACTTCCATACAGGCAGCAAGCCAGCCAGGGAAGGGCATTCTGGCCTAGGCAGGCAATGCGGACACGCTGCTGCGATTCAGCGCAAGTGTCTGCATTGCGCTAGCGCTCGCTGGGGCGCGCGCAGGCGCTGAGTGGTGAGGGGCGCTGCAGGGCAGCAGAGCGCTAGCGGGCATAGCCGGGCACTTGCCCACTTGCCTCAGTCTAAACGTGGGCTTCTTCGAAAGGCCACTACTCGGACCTTCCGGAAGGCCGTAGAATTGGCCTTTCGAGACTGTAGCAGCTACGACCTTGACCTTTCTGGACTGTAGCAGCTACGACCTTGACCTTTCTGGACTGTAGCGGCTACGACCTTGACCCTTCGGAGAAGCTACAGCTACGACTTCTAGACCTGACTAGGACTCCTACTCGACAGGTCTACAGATCGAACCCCTGCGGCCTCTGGACCCTACGACAGTCTACCACTGTTACAAATACACAGGTCACGGGTTCAACTCTAGGGGTCGACACAGATACTGTACACAGGTAAGGTGGGGACTAGGGATCGAGCCCTGGGATCTGCATCGGCTACTCCGAACTGGTGAATACCGTTTCAAGTAGGTCTCGCATCATATTTGTTAATTATTTTTTGGTTTACACGACTTCAAGCAAATAAAGCAGCTATTAAACCACCATTACCTCATACTAGGCTCATAGCCTGTTTTTGCCGACCCTGATTTTCACTGCGCACCGAGCTTTGCCGAGCCTGGGTTCGGTTTTGTTTCTTTTCTGGTACTCTCCTGAAAAAAAAAAGAGAAAAAGCACAGCCAGACTTTCGAAAAGCAGCCACAAAAAAAATAAAAGAAATAAAACAAACACCCCTCTGGACGTGTGATAGCATGCCCTCAGTGAGGGCGTTACAGCCAGGGTGTCAGTTCCACGGAAGAAGGAAAAAGGAGAAAAAAATTGAAACTGAACTTAGGTCGGGAAAGCAGGTTCATACATTCCGCAAAGTAATAGCGTGGGCATACCCTCCTCCACAAAGTGTCAGCAGCCCGTGGACCGCCCGTGCCTCCCTGGCGGGGCACCAAAACTAAAAAAAGCAAGAAAACAAGAAACACAAACAATGAAAACCTGAAACTGGCAACTATAGCAGTTAGATACGAACGTGTGAGTTTTGGAGTGAGCACAACTTGGTGCACGACCTTCCCCGACATGATCTTTTGTTTTTCTTTTTGTTTTTCTTTTTGTTTTTCGCAGGGGCCCACGAGGCCCAACTACCGAGCCTCGTCCAAAGCCTAAAAAGTTCAGAAAAGATGGGAAAACAGCCGGTTTTCCTATTTTTCCCAAGAGTGACAAAAGTAGTGGTGGTTTAAAGCAATGCTTGTGAATCGACGATGTGATTTTGGATTAGCTCTTGGTATTATGGGTTGTTTTGCTATTTTTCAAACAGTAGACTTTTCAACCATTTTTGCTTGTGCTAGCTAGTGCCTTTGTGTGGGAACCTTCTTAGCTGTAGGAAAATTCGCACAAATAGGAATCCAGTGGCCACGATTGGAGCTATAGTACTTACCATGCATAAGACTACTCAAGTAAAAAAGACACGATGTCTTTCAACAAAATATGATAGATTTTCAAAAGACTATCAAAAAAATACGACAATAGAAAGGCCTCTAGTAGCTCAGCGGTTAGAGCAAATGACTGTTAAGTGCGCCGATGGTACACTCGAATTGTAAGTGGACCATCCACTCGTTTACAAAAGATTTTAATTTCACAATTACTAAGTTACTGGTTACTCGAAATCATCGCTATTCTGTTGAGTTTTCCTGTTTTACAATTGCTATATCATTTTCAATAATCAACAGTCAATTATTTGACTACAGTAGTAGGAAGTTTAGTTTGTAACTCTTATATGTGGTATTCATTCTTGTTTGACGTTTGGATAGAAAAGTCAGAATCTCTGGAACCACCCCAATTAGTCCCATCCATTATATCAAAGAGTCGTCAAGAAACCTTAGCTCTTCAGTGGATTCTTGAAGGCGCCTTGTGGAGGCGACGTTTGATAAAAAGAAACATAACTTAGATCAATCTTCATCTGCTGAAATACAGGATGCTTCGTAAAAACAAGGATTTGCTAGAAAAAACAAAGAAATGATCTGTTATGTTTGAATTTCAATGTTGCTATTTGTTTCTTTGATGGCTGGAAGTTCTTCAAAGGTATGAAAAGTTGGAGGCCTTTGTACCATCCATTCAAGTGTAGTTGAATTTGGCTCACGTGCCCAAGGTGCTTGAAGAGCACGCACTTCACTGGTTAAAGTGAGATAAACAACCACTAAAAAAAACTAAAATTTCTACAACAGAAAGATAAAGAGCCAAAACTACTTAAAAGTGCATTCCATCCGGCGTTAAGTGTCTGGATAATCCGGAATGCGGCGGTCTCTGACACCTGCCTGTGCTGGAAGGTGAAAAGGAGAAGTGACATAAGCGTCGAATGAAGAAGCCCCAGTAAACGGGGGCAGTAGCTCTTTAGCTGTCAACTTAAGGGCAGTTATCAAATTTGGCTATACAAGTGGACCTCCCGCAGCTACGCTGCAGTCAAGGACGACAGCAAAAACATTTTGCAAAACAACCCAGACATCGGTTGGACCCCATCTTTGCAATGTACCGTACCAGACACTGTCCAACTTTGCAAAATGACCCGGTAGTTGCCAACTTTTGGTGGGTGCAATTGCAAAAAAAACGCCCAATTTTCAGGGACATTTTGACATATATCCCAACTTACGGGGGTATTTGGCCAATTAACACCCCCCAAAAAAGGCCAACGGCATCTTCTCGACATTTGGGGGAAGATATGCCAGTCTTCTCTCTCTCTCTCTCTCTCTCTCTCTCTCTCTCTCTCTCTCTCTCTCTCTCTCTCTCTCTCTCTCTCTCTCTCTCTCTCTCTCT